AGTAGAGTAGAGTAGAGTAGAGTAGAGTAGAGTAGAGTAGAGTAGAGCAGAGCAGAGCAGAATACAATAAAATACAACAGAATACAGTAGAATAGAAAAAATAATAGAATAGTATAGAAAATAGTATAGAATAGAATAAAAATAGAATAGAGAATAGAATAGAAAAAATAATAGAATAGAAAATAGTATAGAAAGTATAGAATAGAATAAAAAATAGAATAGAATATAGAATAGAAAAAATAATAAAATAAAATAGAAAATAGTATAGAAAATAGTATAGAATAGAATAGAAAATAGAATAGATTAGAAAATAGTATAGAAAATAGTATAGAATAGAATAAAAATAGAGAATAGAATAGAAAAAATAATAGAATAGAATAGAAAATAGTATAGAAAGTATAAAATAGAATAGAAAATAGAATAGAATATAGAATAGAAAAAATAATAAAATAAAATAGAAAATAGTATAGAAAATAGTATAGAATAGAATATAGAATAGAATAGAATAGAAAAAATAATAGAGTAGAATAGAAAATAGTATAGAAAATAGTATAGAATAGAATAGAAAATAATATAGAATAGAATAGAAAATAGAATAGAATAGAAAATAGAATGGAATAGGAATAGGAATAGAATAGAATAGAATAGAATAGAATAGAATTCTTTATTGGCCAGGCGTGATTGGACACACAAGGAATTTATTTAATTAATTTGATTAATACTTTCTTGACTCCTATTTAACATCTACATGAAGTTACTAAATAAGATCATCTATTGCCATGAGATGAAGATTCAGCACTAGGCTAATGGCACCCAATGATACATCTCTGCATTTAGCAAACTAAATGAAGCTGTTGCTGTCTTGTCTTGTTGCCTGGAGGCTGTGGGAGGCTGAACGGGAAACAATAGGCTTCAAATGAACCAAAGATGGTAAAGTCCCATATCCAAAAGGCTCCAAAATCCAGAACCACTCAGGCAAGACTGAGTGGCTCTGGATTTTGGAGTCTTTTAGATATATGGGACTTTACCATCTTCAGTTCTGGATCATCTCACAACCTATTGATTAAATGCTCTGAAAGAATCCTCCAAGTAGGAATAACAGAACAACAGACTTGAAAGGGACTTGGTTGGACTGCTAGTCCAACCCCCTGCTCAGGCAGGAAACTCTATACCAGTGGTGGATAACCTTTTTGGGCTCCTGTGCCAAAAATTGTGCGCTCACGTGCCAGCACCCAGAAGGCAATGCGTGCCCCCCCCTACGCATGCATGCGCAATACCCACCTACCCCCTTACCTGCACTGCACCTCACAGCTGATTTTTGGCCATTTTGAGGCCTTTTTCAGCCTTCCAGAGGCTTGAGGAAGGCTTCTGCAGGCTTTGCAGGCTGAAAACTAGGCCTGTTTTGTCACTTCCGGTATTTCTGGAAAAACAGGAAGTGATGAAATGGGCCTAGTTTTCGGCCTCAGAAACCTTCCTGAAGCCTCTGGGAGGCCAAAAAAGGCCTCAAAATGGCTGAAAATGAGCTGTGAGGTGTGCACAAGCACAATGAGGTTTGTTTGCCAGCAGCTTGCCTGCCGGCACAAATGGCTCTGCATGCTCTGTTCGCCATCACGGCTCTATACCATTTCAGGCAAATGGTTATCCAATCTCTTCTTAAAAATCTCCAGTGTTGAAGCACCTACAACTTCTGGAGGCAAATCATTTACAATTAATTTGTTCTGTCAGGAAATGTCTTCTTAGTTGTTCCAACCAGAAGCAAAAGAAGCCCTTACTGTTTTGTGCATATCCCTAATTGTATGATGCGAACCCCATCATGGGAGATATTGTAATGATCACTGTCCTTTCTGATAACCCCTTTCCTATAGACCAGTCTGTTTACCGTGCACAAGAGAAACCACTCGGATTCTGAGAAAGCCACATCCACAGACCACATGCAAGGATCACGGTAAGAGAAACCTAAGTGTTCAATTCTCAGTAGGCACAACAAACATTTTTAGCATTCCTCCCTTCCTCCCCCCCCCAATACCTTCCTTGTGTTTTTCCCATGAGGCTCTGCCTTTTTGATGGTGGAAGGATCAAACATTTAGTTGCAACATTGGTTGTGACAGGAATTGATCAATCAGTTTGTTGCCTGAATCTAAAAATCATGGACTTGTTGTGGCCCGCCGGCGGCTGGCGGAGCTGGCAGCAGAGTCGGACAGTGAGGAGGTTGGGGAGGAACCCGGGCCAGTCCTGGAGGCTGAGGAAGGCTCGGATGAGGGCTCTGCATCAGAGGCAGAGATGGGGCCAGGGCAGGCTAGCAGTCATCAGCTGCCTTTGGGCTCGGACAGCAGCGAAGCAGGGGAGCTTCTGGAACCGGTTCCCAGCCTGCACATGTGCAGAGCTGCCAAAAGGAAGAACTCAGGGTTGACGTGGGAATAAGGCCGCAGGTGGATGATGAATGCCCCCCGCCATAAGGATTAAAAGAGGAGCAAAAGGGGAGGGGGCTTTTGCAGGAAACAATTTGTTCGTTCGTTGTGAAGATTTGTCTGTCTAACCTAGAGACTACGTGCCCAGCCTTTCCCTGTCAGCGCTGCATGTGGAAATATTTACCGGGCAGCTTTCCAAGATAGATAAGGTCTGAGCTAATAATCATGCCTTTGCAAGACTGTTTGCCAGGCTGTTGGCTGAATGTGAACATTCATTTAATAAAAGAGGTTTTGCTGGCATACAGAGTTTGCTTAGTGCTTTTTTAGGGAAGCCTAAGACAGAACAGGACTGAGAGGGAGTGGCTGGCCCAAAGTCACCCGGATGTCTTTTGTGCCTAAGGCAGAACTAGAACTCACCATCTCCTGGCGATTGGCCCAAAGTCACCCAGCCAAATTTCATGCCTGTTGCCTGAAGGACTAGAATTCATGGTCTCCTGGTTCCTAGCCTGGTGTTAAACCAAACTGACTCTCCGTTAGCACCCCTAGTTGTGAATTCAACGAACTCTTGATTTAATGGGTTAGTAGAAGGAAAGAGGTGTCTGTTAAAACCAAGTGTCTTTTAAATTGAGTGTTTAATAACAACAAAAACGAAAAGAGCAAGGCTGGTGTGCATTATCTTTTGTCTCCTCAATAGCTTCTGCTTCCCCCCAAAATCTCAGCTCTTTCTTTTCCTCCTTCTTACAACTCTCATCACTGCCATCAATCCAACGCGGTGTATCCCATCAGCCCTCCCCTCGCTGCCATTTTCCCAATACCTTCTCTCCTTTGACTTCCTCCAGCCACCCGAGATGTCCACTGTGTGCCCTAAGATGTGTCAGCATTCCAGCAAAACCAGATTCCAATCACTAATTCCGAGACAGGCATTTTCTCAACGTTTCTTTTTATTGGGAAAGTCGTACCGGCACATCTGGGAAAACCTGAATCTGAGTGTTCTGGGTTTTCCCTCAGTAAATCAAACATCAAAACCCAACCCCTGCACCCATCAGTCCATCACATGGTCCAATCACCGTCTGTCCCAACTTGAGACACCTCTTCAACCACTCCTCCTCCAGGTGCAGGAATAACATGACCTTGACCGAAAAAAAGAATGCTACCGTATTATGTCTAACTACCAGAGGTAGCATTCAGCAGGTTCTGACCAGTTCTGGAGAACCACTAGCAGAAATTTTGAGTAGTTTGGATAACCGGCAAATCCCACCTCTGACTGGCCCTGCCCCCATCTCTTCTCTGCCTCCCGAGTCCCAGCTGATTGGCTGGGTCTTCTTTTGTTCCCCTGCACAGGAGAACGGAGCTGGAAAGCAGGTTAGTGGGGTGGGGAGGGAATGGGGATTTTACAGTATCCTTCCCTGACACACCCATCAAGTCATGCCCACCAAGCCATGCCCACAGAACCGGTAGTAAAAAAATTTGAATCCCACCACTGCTATCTACTAACACTCTTTAAAAAAATCCCCCCTGCTAATTTCCCAGGAACAGGAATGTGGTAGTGTGGAAGTTTCTGGCGTTAATATGGCTTCCAAAGTTGACAGTATGACTATTAAATCCAAAGTTTGCTACATCGAGGTGCATTAAATTAACTTTACTGTCTCTGGAACTACGCACCTAGATTTGGGGTGACACTCCTGTTCTTTTTGCTACTCCTCATTGGTGTTTTTTTCCAGATGTATTGAGTAGGTAACATCTTGGGAACATGGGAGCAGGGTAAAGATTTAATATGGTGTTTCTCAACCGTGGCAACTTTCAGATGTACGGACTTCAACTCCCAGAATTCCTCAGCCAGCCTTACTGACTGAGAAATTCTGGGAGTTGAAGTCCACACATCTGAAAGTTGCCACGGTTGAGAAACTCTGAAATGCCAACACAAATGCATCTATATTGGACTTGTACAGTGGTGGTATGCTACTGGTTTGGCCCGGTTTGGCCAAACCGGTAGTTAAAAAAAAGCCTCCCGTGATCAGCTGACAGGAGGGAAAAAATCCGACAATCAGCTGCGCTTTTCTCTTCTTTGTCCTCTCAGCTGATTGCCCCTGCAGGTCTCAGCTGGCGTGGGGTAAGCTGTGCGCCAGCGTTAGGCAAAGCATGCCCACCAAGCCGCACCCATCAAGCCGGTGGTAAAACAATTTGAATCCCACCACTGGACTTGTACCATATTTCACAGAATAACAAAATAACAGATTTGAAAGGGGTCTTGGAGGTCTTCTAGTCCAACCCCCCCTGCACAATCAGAAGACCCCATACCATTTCAGGCAAGTGGTTGTCCAGTCACTTCTTAAAAACCTCCATTGATGGAGAGCCCCACTTTCTGAAGGCAACCTGTTCCACACTGGTTAATTGTTCTCCCCGTTAGGAAATTTCTCCTTAATTCCAGGTTGCTGGCATTCCGTATTTGTACACTGGATTCTACATTTGTCTATTGAAAACCTAGTTCTTCTCCTCCGTCCCTTCCTTATAGATGAACGCTCCACTAATACTCGCTTTACGTGTATTGTTTCTTCTTCTTTTTTTTTCTAGAGGAAGAACTCCTGTATGATGGAAATATTCGTTCTCTTTTCATCGCCCCCTGTGAATACAGCAGTGGCCAGAAATCTGGATTGCTCCAGAGAAATGTGTGGATCAAGAACGGAGAAAAGGTGTTAACAGGGAACTAACTTTATTTCATTAGCAGTTCAGCAACAGTAATGGGTTTGCTATCATATATAGGTAATGTTCTGGCCAAGGCTTCCGAGACCGTAATTATGCACACACTTATTTTAAAAGCAAGTCTTGTTTTATTGCAATGCTGAGAATTATTTTCTTTTTTTTTTTATTAAGAATTTTTATTTTTAAACATAGACAAACAAAACCTAAAACCATCTTCCAGTTACATACAGTCGGTTACAACTCTTTGGTGCTTCATCTCCATAGTCCTCACTTATAATTTGTCTGGGAATTATTTTCATTCCCAGCTGGTAATGAATCTCAAACAGTCCCTTGAGGTAAGCACCCACATTTCTTTCCTGTGAAGTGCTGCCAATAACAGACGTGTCAAATGAACTAGAGCAAAGTACGAAGAGCTTCAAGGATGAATGTGAACCGAACGAATGACTTTGCTTCCTGCAAAGATTTCATCATCTTTGCCTGTCCTTTATCCCTTATGGGAGGGGCAATCGCCTCCCAGCCTTACTCCCGAGTTGCTCCTTTTGTTTCAGCTGCTCTTCCCTTCTAGCAGCTCTGCGCACTGGGAACAGGCTCCCCTGGGTCCTCTGCCTCGCTGCTGCCAGACTCCAAAGGCTCTGAAGACAGCACCCCACTCCCAGATGGTCCTCGCCCCATCTCTGCATCGAACACAGGACTCTCATCCAAGTCCTCTCCAGACTCTTTGACTGATCCCCTGTCTTCCCCACTGTCTGATTCCGCTGCTGTCTGCACAGGCTGCCAGCGAACCACAACAGATAGTCCTCGACCTACGAACATTCATTTAACAACCATTCAAAGTTATGCCCGCCCTGTGAAAAATGTAACTTAGGACCAATCCTCGCACTTAAAGCCATCAATCACAGAGTCCTGTGGTCATGTGATCAAAATTTGAACACTTGGCAGGTGACATGTATTTCTGATGGTTACAGCACGCCAGGGTCACGTGATCATCGTTTGTGACCCTCCCGGCGGTTTTCCGAACAATCAAAATCAATGAGGAATTCCAGATTCACTTAACAACCACACGATTTGCTTAATGACCACGGCAAAATAGGTTGTAAAATCAGACTGAATGTCATTACCAAAGGACCTTCCATCCTCAATTATGGTCCCAAGTCAAGAACTACCTACTGTAAATTGCAACTTCCTGCTATCAATGTCACATAAGTAACAAATCTATTTTATTTCTTTCTTTATTTGATTTGTCAATCGCTTACAAGACAATAGGTATAAGTATAAACACGAGTAATTTCCAGACCATCCTTCCCCAGCCTGCCTCCCTTGAGATAGAATAGAATAGAATTCTTTTATTGGCCAAGTGTGATTGGATGCACAAGGAATTTGTCTTTGGTGGAAATGCTCTCAGTGTACATAAAAGAAAAGATACATTCGGGGTGGGATCCGACCCGTGTAACTGTTCAGTAATTTACTATTTGCTGCGCATGCATGTGAAACGTTGTGAGCTGTGCTGCCCGGACAGCTGAGCAGCGCTGCGCGCAGGTGTGCAACATTTGAAAAAGCTCTATTTTCCTGCTTTTTCAACCGCAACTGTGCCACACAAAGCAGCTGAGGTCGAAAAAGCAGGAAACAAAGGACAGATAAGAGCCCAGTGGGCCAAAACAGCAGCAGACACAGAACCAGTTCTCTTCAGAGCTACCGGTTCTACAGAGACGGACAGAACCAGTAGAATCTCTCCCTTGGATACATTCGTCAAGAGTCAAGGATCATAAGGTACAACACTTAATAATAGTCATAGGGTACAATAAGCAATCAAATCATACTAGGAAACAGTCCATATAAATCTTAAGGATACAAGCAACAAAGTTACAGTCATACAGTCACAAGTGGGAGGGGATGGGTGATAAGGAGTGATGAGAAGATTAATTGTAATAGTAATGCAGACTTTGTAAATAGTTGGACAGTGCTGAGGGAACTATTTGTTTAGCAGAGCGATGGCGTTCAGGAAAAAACTGTCCTTGTATCTAGTTGTTCTGGTGTGCAGTGCTCTATAGCGTCGTTTTGAGGGAAGGAGTTAAAACAGTTTATGTCCAGGATGTGAGGGGTCTGTAAGTATTTTCACAGCCCTCTTTTTGACTTGTGCAGTATACAGGTCCTCGATTGAAGGCAGGTTGGTAGCAATTGTTTTGTTGCTATTACAAATACGTTGCCACTACGACTATCAGAGTTTTCCGACAACCATCGTAGCTCAGGTTCTGAAGATGCCGGGGTTTGACAGCTTCAGGACCTTCTGGATGTTTCTGGTGTTTAAATCCACGTCTCCATTTCTCTCTTCAGAAAATGGCCTGCAACCTGGATGCTGAGAAAGCAAAACGCTACGAGAAGGTTGCGAATATCTCAGAGATGGTGAGCGAACACTTCCTTTGCACAGGAGGCACGGACCCACGAGTGGACCCCAACGTTTGTTCAAGTAAGGAGAATTGGCCCTAAATCTTATTCCTTCTCTTTTAGGTCAAGGAAGTATAGAAAGTTTCAAAACAGCAAGTGATCTGGCCCGGGGTTAGATCCCCTTAAGGTCTCCTGCTTGAGTGCCCAAAGTGTGTGCGTGTGTACCTGCACCCATAATGCAATATGTGTGTGACCTCCCCCGCCCCCTGTGCATGCGTATGACCCCCCTAGGCATCCCGTGTCTCTGTGCATGCACACATGCTGTTTCCCCCCCCCGCGCATGCACGGCAGATACCTAACAGTCAGCGGGCTGGCAGGAGGCGCGTGCGCATGCGCAGTGCACCTGATCTGGGTCGACAGCTCGTGTACTGGCAGAGATGGCTCTGCGTGCCACTTCCAGGATACGTGACATAGGTTCGCCATCACGCGACTGACTTTTTTGCGCCTTGATGGGATGGATAAATGTGATCATAGAAAGAACAAAACAGAGTAATAGATACATGACATGCTGGAATCCTCACAGAGGTTTTTGAAACCCCGCTTTCTACTCCCTTGAGCTGTGTTGTTCGGGGGGGGTGTTGGAAAATCAGAGAAGGAACATTAACAATTCCATCCCTCCTCATTCATTACTTCAAAGCAGAAGGTAACAGATAACAGATAATCAGAGTTGGAAGGGACCTTGTAGGTCATCTAGTCCAACCCGCAGCCCAAGCAGGAAAACCTATATGTCATTTCTGACAAATGGCAGTCCAGTCCCTTCTTGAAAGTCTCAAGTGATGGCGCTCCCACAAATTCCGAGGGCAAGTTGTTCCATTGGTTGACTGTTCTCACGGTCAGAAAGGTTCTCTTTATTTCCAGGTTGAATCTCTCCCCTTGTTCGGTTTCCATCCATTATTCCTTGTCTGGCCTTCAGGTGCTTTAAAAAATAGCTTGACCCTTCCTCTCTGTGGCAGCCCCTCAAATATTGGAAACCTCTATCATGTCTCCCGTGGTCCTTCTCTTCACTAGACTAGCCAAGCCCAGTTCATGCAACCGTTTGTTGTATGTTTTAGTCTCCAGTCCCCTTATCATCCTGGTTGCTCTTCTCTGTACTTTTTCTAGGGTCTCAACATCTTTTGTATAATGTGGTGACCAAAACTTCATAAAATGAGAAACTTTTTTTTCGTGGTGCCTGAAATGTTTGGGGAACTGGCTTCTAGTACACCGTTCAGGGTTAGAGCTTTGCTGTGCCTAGCCAGCTAACTCCTACGCTAAGCTCCTTTCTTCTCTTGATTGCAGATGATTCCGGTGGGCCTCTCCTCATTCAGAGAAGGTTGCGTTACATTCAGGTGAGTGGTGGCTTGAGCTAAACCCAGCCTCTTCTTCTCAGCTAAACAGACCAATATTCCAACCTTCTAATGTAACTGGAAGCTTGTTTCCTCAAACCATTCATTAAGGGGGAAGATACATCCTACGGGTGTCAAACTCAGGTCGTCATGGCAGCATCACATGACGTATGGGGACTTATTCCCCCCTTTGCCAAACTGGGCGGGGCCAGTGTGTCACGCATCTGGCCCGTGAGCCGGGAGTTTGACAGCCCTGTCCTACAGCATTATTATTTGGGGTCCCAAGAGAATAATGGGCAGCCATATTGGTGGATGAACGAAAATATATATAGGTTCTACTTAGCTATTCTTTCTTCTCACTGGAGCAGTGTTTTTCAAACTTGGCAGCTTCAAGAAAGCAATAGCAACAGTACTTAGACTTATATACCCCTTCACAGTGCTTTATAGCCCTCTCTAAGCAGTTTACAGAGTCAGCATATGGTCCCCAACAATCTGGGTCCTCATTTTACCCACCTTGGAAGGATGGAAGGCTGAGACAACCTTAAGTCTGGTGAGATTCGAACTGCCCAACTACTGGCAATCAGCAGAAGTAGCCCGCAGTACTGCATTCTAACCACTGCGCCACCTCAGCTCTTCAACGTGTGGACTTCAATTCCCAGAATTCCCTCACCAGTGCTCCCAAGATTTCTGGGAGTAGGAATTCACCCCAAGGCATTGCCAAGTTTGGAAAAGCACACTGCACCGGGAGTCTCTCAAGCTTTACAGCCACAGTTCTTTCTCCATCTTGTCTCTCCTTCTGTAGCTGGGTGTGATCAGCTGGAGCGTGGTTGACACTTGCAAATTCGACAGCTCATTATTGTGCGACTCGGAGCCCGTAAAGAAGAAGTCCCCCCCGCATGCCAGAGATTTCCACATCAACATCTTCAAAATTCTACCTTGGCTCAAGGAGCAATTGGGGACAGAGGTGGAATTCTTGTAAATTTGCTTTTCTCTTTGCTTTGTTTTAATAAATGGATCAAGCATTTCCCCATCCTTAAAACGGAATGCAATATTTACAACTGTGTATTCAATGCCAGGCAGGCAGGGAGGGAGAGAGGGAGGGAGGCGCACACCGGCGAATTGTTTTGGCCCTAATTGTGTGACATTTTAAAGCCAGAAACCTGGTTAAATAATGTGTGCTCCAACCCTTAGTGGTGAAACATAAGGAATCCAACCTAGTGCCATCTTGTTGCATGTGGACAGCAACTATCAGAATGTCTCATCATCATGGTAAACAGCCACCATCTTTCTTTTAAAGGTAAAGGTTTCCTCTGTCCAATCATTTCCAACTCTATGGGGTAGCAGTCATGTCTGTTTCCTAGCTGAGGGGAAACAGTGTTGTCTGAAGACACTTTCCGTGGTCATGTGGCTGCTGAGGTGCACAGAATGCTGTTACCTTCCCACCAAAGTGGTACCTATTCATTTACTTGCATTCGCATGCTTTTGAACTGCTAGGTGGACAGAAGCTGGAGCAAGTGACAGGAGCTCACTCGATTTTTTTTATTACTGGTTCTGTGGGCATGGCTAGGCGGGTATGGCCATGTGACTGGGTGGGCGTGGCTTTTTTTGCAGCAACACCCCCCCCCCATTTTGGGGGCCTTCTGGGCCTCAGGAAAGCCTCAGGAGGGGGGGCGTTTTTTGGAGCCCAGGAAGGAAAAAGAATGGAACTTGGAAGGGGTGCGCAGTACAACCCACCCCCCTCTATTTTTGAACTTACCATCAGAACTTTGGATAATAAGTAACTCCCAGGTAGGTCTGTCAGAAGTTTGAATCTACCCGCATTTGCATGCTTTCGAGCGGGAGCAAGGAACAGGAGCTCACCCTAGTGTGTGGCACTCAGGTCTCAAACCTGGGCTGTCAACTTTCCAGCTGAGAGTCAATGGAGATTCTCAGTCATCCAGGTCATGGTTGTCCCAAAGGTGACAATTGAAGACGTTTTCCTTTGAAGATGTTTCGCTTCTCATCCAAGAGCTTCTTGGATGAGAAGTCAAATGTCTTCAAAGAAAAACCAGAAAGTCCATTTGCCTCTTGAAAAAAGCACCTTTGGGATTTCCAGTTGACAAGTTCAGCTGGATGGATGGCGACCAGTTGTAAGATGAGGATTAGCTGTAGAATGGCATGATTGAGGAAGGCAATAAGGTAAGGGAGCGGCAGATCTGTGCGTATTTAATGGAGCTTTTTGACTTTCCAGTTCTGGAGGGAGTGGAGGTTGATGCTATAAGGAGAACAGAAGGACGGTCCATTTGCCTATTTCACACGTCGACAACTTGAATCAAACAAATAATTCTTTTTTCCGAAATACCAACAAATGAAAACCGTATTAATTTGTGCTTCAGGGGTATCAAACTCGATTTCATTGAGGGCCACATCAGTGTTGTGTTTGACCTTTGGAGACCCAGGGGGTGTGGCTGGAGGGCAGTGTGGACAGGGGGCGTGGCCAGTCAAGGTTACTCATCAAAGCTCCATTTTCGGCCCGGACAGCCTCCTGCAGCCTTCTGCCAGCAAAAATGGAGCTGCACAAGGCGCCTCCGATCTCCATTTTTGCTGGCAGAGACACCGTGGGCCAGACCTTCACTGTTTCCAGGGCAGCCCTGCAGGCCGGATCTAAACACCCTACCGGCTGGATCCGGCCCACAGATTTTGAGTTTGAGACCTCTGCTATAGTTCATTAAAATGGCATTACAGGAATCAAAATCTTGATTGTGATGGAGGCTTACAAGGATACATCAATCACTTCATCAATTCATTCCCAATAATGAAGGGCTTCCAATCCTAATGCAGCTTTATTGTCTATTTTTCCCATGAGACATACACAACATAAAAAAATCATTCAATGTTTGTGAGCTGCCAGATTTACTGCTGCAAAACACTGGAAGACAACAGCACATGTTGTAAGCAGATCCGTAACACTAGTATTTTTGGGATAATGCAACATTACATACCACACGGAAAGGAAGGAAGAACTAGTAAGCCAAGGATAGTATGAAATAAGCAAAAATGCAGTTGAAGCTTCTACAAACAGCATTTCCCATATTTTTGTAATTTGCAGACCATCATCCCTTCCCCCAGTAGATTCACACATTACTTTTCGATTTTCAAACTTATCTTTTTCCTCTTGAAGATCTCATCTATTTCACCTGGCTTCATGTCTGTTGATGTTGTTTTTAAGTTTTAATCATGGGATTAAGTGTTATAAATTTAATGTGATTTTATGCCTTTTTGTTTTTGCTTGAGAATTGCCCAGAGTTGGTTGAAAGATGGGCGGCTGCATAAATGTCTTAAATGTTTGTTTTGTTATTTGATCCTCATTCTTTCTGTCCAATCATTTTAACATCTTTCTTTCATACTAGTCACTCATTCTACCTTCAATAGACATTTCATTCTGCTGGTTTGTTCTTGTGTGAAAATACAGATTCAAGTATCCTGTTTCCACTGCATCCTTCTCTTTTATTGCTCACAGTTCTTACTTTTATATCGTGCGCTTGCCTATAGATATGTTCAATTTTTCCACACTCTTTTTCAGCAACAGATCACAAATTACCAAAACTTGCTTCTTCATGGATATCTCCCTTTAATATTCTACCAATGCCTAAATACTTGCTCTAGTTTTTTTTGCCTTGTGTATAACTTGCCATTATGTATTCCATTTCCTTCTCAAGCAGAACTTCACGTATTTTACATATTTTTGTTCTCTCCCAGCCAAATTCCTCGAGAGCAAACACAAATAAACTCAGGAACTCAAACTTTCACGGCTTTAATCCACAAATAAACCTCTTTGTAGATAACAGATGGCTTGCAACCAATTAGTCCAACAAGAAAAACCTTGGCAGAAGTCCTCAAATAAACCAGTCTTTAATCACACAGAGTCTTTCAAACATTTTTGCTTTTTGCAAAGGCAAAAACGTTTGAAACCAGGCTTATATTCCCTGGAGGGAGTGGTCATTAATTAGCATTCTTACTCCCGACTCGCCTGTGCTGCTCTTCCATGAATCATCCTGCTCTCACTCACACCTAGCACAGGCTCCTCGGAAATGTCTTCCTCATTGCTGCCAGCTAACCACAATTTTACGGCCTTTCGTGTATGCGTGATTGTGTTGATTTCTGAGGGGATCATTTCAGGAAGTAATTTTTTTTAACCCGAATTGTACTATAGGTTTTTTTTCCCCTCATCTAGAAGCCACCAACTATATTTAAATTGTGGTGGAATATAAATATGATAAAGAAACACATAAGCAACCTTGACTTCTGATACATAAATGTTTAAACTGATAATTATCATGGCATCATACAGTCTACTGTACGCTGCAGAAATTCCTCACTTAATCATAAATGAGACTGGAACATGCCACTTTATGCCAGCATTTCCACCTTACACAGTGAGGACTTCATATGGTTGTGATTTTTGACCTCCTGCTGGCTTCCCCTTTGACTTTGCTTGTGAGAAAGTCGGAGACCGTGATCCTGTGACTACTCATTCAGTGCTGTTCACTTTGAATGTTCATTGAATGGGCGGTCATTAAGCAAGGACTATTTATAATTGAAATTCTCAACCAATATGTTCTTCCTGAGCATTCAAAAATAACTGTGTATTCAAGTTTCTAAACAACACAACTCTACTAATCACAAGTATTTCTCATATATATTTCCATACATACATTAAACAATCAAAGAGCATCACACACCCTTGTCTTACTTCCCATTCAGTGTTGAATGTTTTGCTAAGCATTCAATTTCTTCACACACATGCTTTGTTTCTATTTTATGTATCCTGGTCTTACTGCAATCAAAAACATTCATCTCTCTCATCTATGTATATGGATGTATCTATGCATCTATCACTATTATCTGTCTCTATTATCTATCTATCTCAGGGGGTCTTCAAGCTTGACAGCTTTAAGACTTGTGGATTTCAACTCCCAGAATTCCTCCTCCAGTCATGTTAGCTCAGGAATTCTGGGAGTTGAAGTCCACAAGTCTTAAACTTGTTAAGGTTGGAGACCCTTGGTCTAACTCTATATTATCCATCTACCTATCTCTATCATCATTCATCCATCTCTAGTATCTATCCATCCATCTCTATTATGCATCCCTATTATCTATAGTATCTATCCATCATCCATCTATCCATCCATTTTGTCTGTCTATCTATCTATCTATCTATCTATCATCTATCTATCTATCTATCATCTATCTATCTATCTATCTATCTATCTATCTATCTATCTATCTATCTATCTATCTATCTCCTGCCTTTTTACAAATAGTTCAAGGTGGCAAACATATTTAATGCATCTTCCTATTTTCCACCTGTGAGGTGGGTTGGGCTGAGAGAGCGACCGGCTCAAGGTCCTCCAGCTGGCTTTCATGGCTAAGGTTAGACTTCAACTCACGGTCTCTTCTGAATTCGCAGAAACTTCCCATAACTCATGTATTTGCTTTACCAGTGCCCTTTTATCTATCAACAAACTAAAATAAATATTTGTAAGGTTCACAAGACTTCTCAGCAACTCTCAGCCCAACAATGTAGACCAAACTACATGATACCGTGTAGGATAAGAAACGTTTATTGGAACAGTTAAACAAACAAAAATCTTACAAGTCTGAATGTACTTCCCTCGCTCCTCACCTTTATCTCTGTGAGAAGTTGAGAGGGGCTTGGCTTAAATTAGTGGTGGCTAACCTTTTTGGGCTCCTGTGCCAAAAATTGTGCGTGCGCTTGCACACTCCCCCTCGCGTGCCAGCACCCAGAAGTCAACGTGCGCCCTCCCACATCCCCTACGTGTGTGCGCTCAATCCCCCCCCCGGTCTTGCACTGCACCTCACAGTTGATTTTTTGGGCGGTTTGAGGCCTTTTTTCGGCCTCCCAAAGGCTTAAGGAAGGCTTCTGCAGTCTTCTACAAGCTTTGCAGGCCGAAATAGAGCCCTGTTTCATCACTTCCTGTTTTTCTGAAAATACCAGAAGTGACGAAACGGGGCTGGCTTTCAGCCTACAAAGCTTGTAGCAG